GTGCTCAGTCCGCTGGGTAAATGGATTAGGGGATCAGAGACACCGGCAGCGTCTGCAGAAACCGAACAGTGGCCCGCAGGAAGAGCTTTACTTGCGCCCAGCCCGGGCCGGCGGGGCATGCTGGAGGCGGCGGGTAGAGCGTCCACCAGGCCTGAGCACCCCGAGGGCCCTCCCAGAGCCCCCGCTGCGCTGCCCGCTCCCCTGCTGGGCTCAGGGCCACCACCTTCTCTGACCTCCCACTGAAGACAGTTCCAGAATTTCCGGCCACCCCAGGGGCCTCCCCAACCTGTGCCACCCAGGTGACTTCCATGGGCCCTGGGCCTTCTCATCCACTGAAAACAAATGATAAGAAAGAAATGTTAAGGCTGCGTGATACAAAGATGAATGGATATATTGATAGTGTCTATTGACACGTTTTCCTCCACCTAAAAGAAACTTTTCATCTGAAAAGAAATTAAATATTTTCAGGAGCCTCTAAAAGCACTGTGGCCCCAGGCCCTGTGGTCCCTGTGCCACCAGGTCCCCTCCGTCCCCCCTGTGCTGCCCCAAGAGGGCCCATTTTCAGACATCTGTACTGGGAGGGAGGGGTATGCATCCAGCTGCAGTAGCTGGAGCACAAAAGCAGCCAGCAGGCCCGGTGGGATGACCTTCTGAGGCCTCTCAGCTCGGAGCTATAATTAGGCCCACTGGCTCAGAGGGGTGCTGGGGCAGACCTGCAGGCTCTCTGTCCCCAGCAGAGCTGAGAGGGGATGGCTGCGGAGCTTTTTACTTGGAAAGACCAGTCACCCCATGCCCCTGGGTGGACAGGTGCAGCTCAGGAAACCTTTCCTGGGGGCCCTGCTCCCTTCACGCCAGTTCAGTGGAACCCCTTGAGATGGCTGGGCACTGTCACTACTCCTAGAGTGCACCCCTCTACCTCCTTGTTCCACCTCCTGGCCCACCCAAACCTGGATTCACCACCCCAGAGCCAACCCTCCCCCGTTGACCCCCCCACCTGGAGCTGCATCCTCCAGTTGAGGCCAGAGAGATGAGACAGGAAGCTCCCCAGGGCCAGGCAAGTCGAGGGACCACAGGGCACAGGGCGCATGCTCAGTGTCAGGTACCCAAAGCTTCCTCTCTCTCTCCGGGCCCTGGGAGGCCTGAGTGCCTGACTGACTGACTCATGCCCCAGTGCTGGGCCCTGCAATGCGGCCTGTGCAGCCCACGCCGGGAGCAGAGACCGCCGGAGGCCGGGCAGGCTTCCCAAGCCCCTACGGCCTGTGTACCCCAAACCTGTGCCAAGCCACCCCCCACCAGCAACCCTCTCTGCGCTTAGCTTACTTCCCTCCTTTCTGACCTCCAACTTGAATGCCCCAGGGGCAAAATCCCATTCCCACCGGCACACTTCCCGCACCACTTTCAGGACAGCGCTCTGGGCTCCAATCTCCCCATAAACCTGAGCAGCCACCCGGGCAGCCTCAGCCCCAGCCTGACCCTGCCTCAGCCACCCGGCAACCCGGCAACCCCGGGCCTGCCGGCACCATCAGGAAACCCCAGGGCCGGAGGGCCAGAAAGAGTCCTCGGCTTAGGAGAGGGGTTCGGGCAGAGGGGCCAGGGCCCTGCCAAGGCCTCCACTCCAGGGAAGAGGACCAGCGCTCAGCCTAGGGCACCACCACCACGGGTGTGCACCCACCCTGACCTCTCTCTCTCCTTTCCCCCTCTCTCCCTCCTTCTCCGGCTTCCTAGCTCCCTGGCAGTCCCATCTACAAGGACGACTGAAACTTTATAGGGCATGATTCATCGGGTGGCAGCCCTTCGGAGTCACGGCGAGTATTACATTAATCAGTGTCAGGCCACTAAAACCGAGATATGAATATGAATTCTCCATATTGCAAGCGAGATAAATGTGCTGGTGATTATAATTGATCGGGGGAGGGAGGGAAGGAGGGTGGGAGCAGTGAGATTTCAGAGAGCAGTGGGTCACCGACTGGGATGGGACCTGCACCCCCTCCCCAAGTCCTCAGACCAGCAATGTCTGAGGGGAGATGCTGGTCTAGAAAAACCACACCTGGACCATCCCCCCGTCACCTCTGCCGGCCTGAGCTGGAGCAGATAGGAGGTCTCCAAATCGGGCTTCCTCTTTACCCTCTCCCCAAAAATAAGACCTAATAAAGACAGAAGTCTGCTGTCCCGGACACGGGGTGCCCTTTCTATGGGAACCTGGTCCCTGAGGAGGAGGGAGGCCAAGTTGCCAGCATTAATCCAGTGGGCATCCCTCACCCTTACCCATGTTCAGGTATAGTCTCCTCCTCACAGGGCTACTGCCACCCTCTGAAATTGTGCTGGGTACGGGTAGGGGAAGGTGGGAGGGAGCACCTCTGTTCACACAGGAAGCTCCAGGAAAACATCCACTTTGGCTTTAAGGAAAAGGGAGTTTCTATGTCCACTCCCAGATATTTCAGGTGCTGAAACACTGGGCTCAGCAGGACCTCCCCGTGGGGTACCACACACCCCTAGGCATGCACACCCTTAGGTGGCTGCAATGGTTGGGAGAGATGTAAACAAATAGCACACAAAGGACACAAATGCTTTTCAAGGCTCAATTAAAAATTCATGTCTAGCTCTTCAATGGAGGAAAATAATTCTGAGGCTGGCAGTCTGATTTCTTTGCAGTGAAGCTTTGGTCCCCAGGAGGGGGGCACGGACCCTTCACGACTTCTAGGCCACAGGGTTCTGAGGCCTCAGACCCCCCCTGGTGGCTCAGCCACCTGGGCGGCAACATCCAGGGGTCCCAAATGTATTGGATAGAAAGAAAGAATGGAAATATGGGTTGAAAGCAGAAACACCTGCATGGACCATCCTATTTGATTCTGGGGTTTAGGGGTAAAGACAGTGGAACTGGGCCAGGGGCAGAGGACTCCATAGCCCACCTGAAGCCCACCTGCTGCTTCCTGCAGTAGCTCAGAAGGGGTTTCCCCGCACGTTTTGGCCGCCGGAATAGCTTGTCTGTGGGCCAAGAACGCACTTCCTCATCAGAGGAGCAGAGCACCTGCTCCTCTAAGATCTGGCGGCGCGCACTCTCCCAAGAACACAGGAGTCGTCAGGTCCCAGAGGTCAGGGTGGGACCCAAGGTTCTGTTCCAGAGCTCTGGAATGGGAAGCTGAGGGCTGCACTGTCCCCTGCAGTCCTAGCATCGAGGACAGGCCAGGAGCTCCTCTCTGAATCGGCAAGGGGCCCTGGGGACAACGCGAACACCCGGAGTGGAGCCTGGTCCTAGCCCCTCCCCCCAAATGCCAGCAGCCTACGTAGTAAGCCCAGCAACACACACCCCCAATTTCAAACAAGTGGGTGGCACTCTAGAACACAGAGAAAGCCCCTCCAACATAATTCGAGGCTCGCGTCCACAGCACCCCCAAAGCCAAGGACCCCCAGATTTGGGGCCCTACCCCAGGAGCGAGATTGACGCCTCCACCAGGGGCCCTATTCCGCTTGCGGCCCATAGAGGGCGCCTGGAGCACGTCCGTTCGGACTGGAAGCGGCTCCACCGCGGCCGCCGCCCGCCAGCCGGCCCTCGGCTCCGC